CTGCTGCTGAGACAGGTCTGGGCCACCTGGGCGGGGCAGCTGAGGATGGACCGCCATGGGAATGAATGCTGACTTGGGCTTGGAATGAATGCGGCCTCTGGGAAGGAGGCGGGAGGCAGGGCTGAGGAGGAGGCCGGCGGGTGGACTGGCACGGAAAGCGCTGGCTCGACAAGAAGAGGACCACCGAGTGACCACTGCCAGCTGGGCCCTGCGCCCGCCCCTCCCGCAGCCACATCCGGTGGGGGGAGGGGCAGGCAGCCATGGAGGGCCCCCCTTCCCTCCCCCCAGGCCCTTTGATCTGGAAGGGTCTCCTGTCAGGGCTGGAGGCTGGGAATGGAGAGAGGAGGTGAAGACCTCCACACCCACCCAGGACCTAGGGGAAGCTGATGGCTCTGGTTACCTCCCCCCACCCCCCCATCTTTCCTCCCAGGTCTCCCAAGACTGGCCCCCTGTGCAAAGGAGTGGGGAGGGTACCCCATGGGGGCAGGGAGGCCTCTGGGCCTCCACCTGGCAGCGACTCCCCTCTGACTTTCTCCTTTAGTTGGGGGCCTGTGGGGACCATCCTGGCCCTGAGCCTGTAGACCTGACGTGCACCCACCTGCTGCCTGTGAGCTGGGGACTGTGGGTGGTTGGGCCTCGTATGTCAAAGTGGGTGGGGGACAGGAATGGAGGTAACTGTGTGATCTCTCCCAACCCAGAGAGAGATCAGCCCCGCAGAACCAAGCAGCAGGGCCTGGGCCCCATCCCCAGAGCTTTTTCACTCAAGGCTGGCGCTCTACCACTTGAGGTAAGACTCTCATGGATCTTCCTGCCTGGGCTAGCATGGAACTATGAGCTTCAGATCTCAGCCTTTTAAGTAGCTGGGATTACAGGCATGAGCCACCAGCACCCGACTCCTTTCAGTTAAAAAAAAAACAACTCATTTCAGATTGCAAAAGAAATGATTAATGATAAGAAATTGGCAATACAGAATAAGAGAGAGAGAGAGAAACCTAACAATTCATTCTGTAAGCTAAAGTATACCCCTATTCTGGGTCCTTTCCCCTGCTCACTTAAAAAGCAATCAGTGGACCATATAAGATGAAGTGAAATGAACCCCAAGATAGGGACACAAGAGGTTTTTTTAATCAGTGTCCCTGTTGTTTTTAATGGAGTATGTGATTTTTTTTTTTTTTTTGTCGGTTGTGAATCTTGAACTCTGGGCCTGGGCGCTGTCCCTGAGCTCTTTAGCTCAAGACTAGCACTCTACCACTTGAGCCACAGAGCTGTTTATGTGGTGCTCAGGAATCGAACCCAGGGCCTCATGCGTTCAAGGCAAGCACTTTACCACTGAGCCACCTTCCCAGCCCATATGTGATTTTTTTTGTGTCTTTTGTATATTCTTCCCCCATGGTATAACCCCTGTATTTTACTGTATTTGATTCCGGTGCCCTGCATCTTGTATATACATTTTTCTAATTTGGAGAGGGGAAGGGAAATAACAAAATGCTGAAACAAGGATACAGGTTAACCCGTTGTGACACTGCTTTGAAAAAGAACTTTACAACTTGGGGTGGGAGGAGTTGGGGAAGTGGGGAAGGGAAGGGATGATAGGGAAAAAACAAAGGAGGGGGTAAAATGCTCATGAAACTGTAACCCCTCTGTACAGTATCTTTACAATAAAAAATATATATAGTTTAAAAGCAATCAGTGGAGCTATGGCTCCAGTGGTAGGGCCTCAGCCTTGAGTGGAAAAAGCCAAGACACAGCATGAGGCCCTGTGTTCAAACCCCTAAACTGGGAAGCACGCCTACACACACACACACACACACACACACACACACACACACACACACACACACACACACACACACACACACACACACACACACACGGTCCTGTGGCATGTGTTGTTTTATGGCTGGTGTAATAATCACTGAAGGACACTTCCGGTGGCAGCTGGATTGCCTTGATCCACTTCCTCCAGACAAAGGGGAGACCAAGCCCTCTTGGGGGTGTCCTTTGAGAACCTTGATCACCACACACACCCCAGCCTGAATCAGATGTCCTGCTGCGCTCAGGCCTGCAGAAATGGACCTGTGGAGGGGGCGGGCCTTCGCGTGGTAGACAGCTTTGCTGCACAGCATTTCTTTCCTGTGCCCTCATGAGGACATTTTCAGACCTTGAAAGGGTGGAAGCAAAGTCCTCGTGGAGTGGGGTGAGCCCGTCCCTGGGCTCTGTGGCTAAATAAGAGTCAGTGGGACTGGGCCCTGAGCCCTTACACCTGCTCAGCCCAATTCCTCTGGGGCCCTAGGGAAAGCACACCTGGTAAGAAAAAATAGAATTGGCCTGGCACTGGTGGCTCATGCCTGTCATCCTAGCTACTCAGGAGGCTGAGATCTGAAGATCAAGGTTCAAATCCAGCCCAGGCAGGAGAGTCCATGAGACTCTTATCTCCAATGAACCATCAGAAAGCTGGAAGTAGTACTTTGGCTCAAAGTGGTAGAGCACTAGCCTTGAACAAAAGAGCTCAGGGACAGTGCCTTAGCCCTGTGTTCAAGCCCCACAATTGCCAAAAGAAAATAAATAAATAAATAAATACATACATACATACATAAAATCACACAGGCTTTCCTTCCTGGGCTGGCTTTGAACCACGATCCTCAGATCTCAGCCTCCTGAGTAGCTAACATGACAGGTGTGAGCCACCAGAGCCTGGCTCAGTTCTTATTTTATCCCACAGGTGAACGTTTGTGCTTGGTCTAGCCATGGTGTCTGCAATGGCACTGAAGGAACCTTCTGGATGCCACTCCCAAGCCGGCCTTCCCCTTGTGGTTGATTCAGAGATGAGGTACAAAGGCTGGCTCTCTGTCTGCCGGGCCTGCTTCTGTCTCTCCCCCTCACTCTTGCCACTGCTCTGAATGAAACCAGCTACCTTCTTGTCAAACTCCCTGTGGCAAAAATGCAAAAACTAGTGGCCTCCCACCAATACCCCACGAGGGCCTGAGCCCCCAGCCCTCAACCAGGGAACGGGAACCCTGCACCGGTAGCCCAAAGAACTCCCTTCCCCTCTCCACAGCTTAGCACGCTCCCTTCCTAGGCAACACCAAGTCCATGCAGTAAAGGCAGTAAATCATCAGCCTCCAACCCCCTATACCTTGGGATGGCACTCCTCTGGGGCAGCCACCATCATATGAGACAACAAGAGCCCCTTAGAGTGACCTTCAGCTCTGGGCAGCTGCAGGACTCTTATCTACTACTTGGACAGCAGCCATCAATCCTAGTCCGCCATGATGAAGCCCCTGGCCCACACGTCCACACCAGGGTCTCCGCCTCCTAGCCCCTTCTAGCCCCTCCTAGACCTCCTAGGTTATATAGATCATCCCAGACAATAGACGGTGCTTCTTCAAACTTCTCCCTTGTGAGAAGGGGTCTTGCCAGCCCCCTTTCCCCGCAATAAACCTTTTCTTTGTTCTCTGCACCTGGATGGCTGCGTGGTTTTCTGGCAAAGTCCAAATAATGTAACAACAACCCTGCAGCGAAGGCTGGAGGCCACTTCGCCCCAGGAGGGCCTCGGACAATAACAATACACCTCAGTCCTGGCCACATCTGAGTCTGAGACACAGTCCCACCGCCCTGGACACCCCCTTCACTGGAGCTGTGGTGGTAAACCACTGAGTTGGGGCCGGGGGGGGTGGGGGGAGACTTGTTACACAGCGGTAGATAACTTTTGCAGCCCTGGATTCCACCATGTTCTCTAGCAAGTTCCTGGGAAAGTGGGGAGCTGTGAGCTTTCCTGTGGTTGTTTTCTAATGGTGAGTGTGTGTGGGGGGGGGCTGGTGTGTGGATTGTTCTGTTTTGTTTTGTTTCCTTCTATTGCGTCGTACTTGTCTTCTTAGCTTCTCTGGGAGCTCAGTCCTGAGGATGCAGAGGGCAAATAAAGCCAGTTTCTCCTTCTGTACTTCCCCAACCTAAATGGGGGGGAGGGGTTCTGCACATGTCAAACAAGCGATCCATTGTGCAGTGGACACCAGTTGGCTCAGTCACTCAGAACAGACGCTCCATCATGATGGCTCTGGACAGGATGGGCCCTGCTCTCCTCCCTTCATCCCCTCTCCCTTGTGATTTTCCCTATCTCACACACACACACACACACACATACACATACACACTCACACACACACACACACACAGAGCTGCAGGCAGAAGTATGGTCAGCAGAGGGCACCAAAGCTCACCATACACCCAGGCCCCCTGCCTGAAAGAGAGCTGAGAGTCTGTAGGGCAGGGCCCAGGCCACTCATACTGGCCCACCCAACCTCTACTCCTCCATAGCTTGGGCCTCCTTCAGTGAAGGGGACTGTTCACCTGTACCCAAAGCCAGCAAATATGCCGGAGCCTTGTGTGTGTGTGTGTGTGTGTGTGTGTGTGTGTGTGTGTGTG